CCCCAAAACCCCAAAACCCCAAAACCCCTAACTAAAACCTCCCAATAGAAATATAAAAATGGAAGACACCATCGGTCAAACTCGAATTAAGAACTTTATCAAGGTAGACTCTCGACATCCTCTTCATAAAAGGGAGACCTACATGATCTCCCTCAGGAAGAAGCGTAAGGTCAAGATGTTCATGCAGAGGAGGGAGGAAATGATTGATAGCCACCAGACACAGGAAGAGAAGGAATTCTTGAAGTCTCATAAGATCCAGGATAATATCCTTGGGTTCGAAAACACCTTTGAGGTCCTAAGATGCCTGAAAGCTACAAACCCAGACGATCTTAAGGACATTCATCTCTATCTAACCCTGCTTAGTGAGTACGTCAGTGAGTTTAGTAAGGACAGCAAAGAATTCCCGCAACTTTTTGAGAAAGTGGGATTTGAAGAGGTCTTTGGATACTGAGTAGAGCTAATCGATATGATTGATAAGTCAGAACATATAGACCAATTTTATGACATTTTTGATAAGATTTTAGACTTTTCTACAACTCTTTGAGAAGAAAGCGAGGATTTTAAAGATCAATTATTTTATTGAAGAGACTTTGTTCCTGTTACATGTAATATCTATAAATGGCTTGCAAAGTTCTGGAGTGACGAGTTCGTTCAAAGTAAGTTAAAAAGCAGCTGTAGTTCGGCCTATCTGACAGAATCATTCATGTTTTCAAAATTTAACACTGATATTTGATTAACTTTGGTTTAGAAGAAGATTTGGGCAAAGCTGAAGAAGGTCTCAACTCTCTTTACAACAAAACTACAAGATCTCTGGTGAAGCTTCAGGTGCTATTCACCTATCTATCCATGGACATAGTTAGGCTTGAAATCTTACTGAAAGATGGAGATTATTTAAAAATAATATCTAAGTAACTTTCTTCATAATTTTAGTCTATTCATGGTCAACAGAAACTTGAAGTCAAAATAAAGTGTGGTTCTATAGCTGATCCTCACTCATCTTCTTGTGCCAATATGTAGAAAGTAAAAGTATAGTCACCTTTTTATTAAATTCTTTAGTCAATATCGAAGAGTACGAAGACATCTTGGAATCGATAGCATTTGAGCTCACTTCACAAGGAGAAATGACTGAAATGAACATGCAAAGCCTTGAAGTAGTCCTCTTGATTTTGAAGCAATACAAACAGGAAGCTGATCTTAAGGAAGCAGTCAGCTTTGTTAAATTTAAGATTAACGTTATCATGAACATTTGTTATGACTTTTATTCAGAATTAGCAATGGTTTATGAAGATTGTGGACCTTTTCAAATGAATGACACTCAGAAACAAATTACCGAGATCACCCTTGAAATCATGACTATATTCGTTGAAAATGATAGCGACAGCCATCTAGAAGCTATCACTTCAGATGACGTATTCTTTGGGATTTTAGAAGCAACTGATCAGTGTAAGGAGAAAGAGAAATTGTTCTCCTTCTTAGCCTGAGTCATTCAGAGATATTCCTGGGAGTGTGGAAATGAAATCTGCTCAAAAACATTTACAACCCAACCTCATCGAGCTCCTATTGCATTGATAATTGGTAATGGAATTATTAAGGACAACTACAATAAAGTATTAGAGTCCTCCACTGAAATGGAAAAGACAGAATTTATTAGACTTCTAAAAGAGCTCTTTATTTATGCCAATCAGGTGGAAAATATAGATAGAGCACTAATAGATATTGGTTTCTTCAGTTCTTGTACTAACAAAGAGGCCAATCTCCAATATGCTCCTCGTTCTGAAGAGCCAATAAAATGTATTTTCAGTGATCTGATTCCAATAATTGAATCAAGGAAAGCGCCTAAACTACTAATCTCATCTCTCCACCTGCTACACTCTCTCCTCTGATTCGGTCAGAGAAGGACTAAAGACGGGGAAGAGAATCCCCTCGCTGTTGATTTCACAGAGAAAGGTGGTACTGATGCTCTAGAAAACCTCCTCGAAGATCCTAACCAGGGTATTGCCAAAATCTGTGAGGAAATTCTTTACTTATATTTCCGCTCAAAATAGCCAACTTAAATATGATCTCTTATTCAATCTTAAAAGCCCTTCCTGGGGTTTTGGGGTTTTGGGGTTTTGGGG